TTTTTTTTTTTTTTTTTTCCTGAGACAGAGTCTCACTCTGTTGTCCAGGCTAGAATGCAGTGGCACGATCTTGGCTCACTGCAGTGTCACCTCCCAGATTCAAGTGATTCTCCTGCCTCAGCCTCTTGAGTACCTGGTACTACAGGCATGTGCCACCACACCCAGCTAATTTTTGTATTTTCAGTAGGGATGGGGTTTCACTATGTTGGCCAGGCTGGTCTCGAACTCCTGACCTCAGGTGATCCGCCTGCCTTGGCCTCCCAAAGTGATGCGATTACAGGTGTGAGCCACTGCGCCTGGCTGCTTCCTTTTCTTTAAAACATGATATGAGAAATTTTTCTGTGGTGGAACATTGAGTTAATCACATGTTGGTTTTGCTTAATTATGATAGCTTACCTAATGTCACATTTGATGTGTTCAACCAGTTCTGCAAATTAAATAGACTGCAAGAGCAGTTCCATAGGTTTCCATATAAAGTTATTAATTCCAGATGAAATAGTGGTGGTACATCCAAATAGCTAATCAAATTGCCTTGCAGATTCAGAAGTTTTAGGTCTCTTAGAGGCACAAATATATCAGCATTCAGTTGTTCTATTTTGTTTTGGCAGAGATGTAACTGTTTTAGTTTATTTAAGCCTAAAAATGCACCCTGTTGAATTACATAGATGGAGTTTCTACAGATATTTAAAATTTCTAGACTGGAGAGGTTATCAAAACTGTTATTATGTAAGACAGTAACATTGTTCTCAATCAAGTAGAGCTCTGTGAGTAAAAAGTATGTCTGTAGAACTCTTATGTCTGTACCATTAAGAGTAATTTGGTTATAACTGAGATCAAGTATAGTAACATCTTTCTTGATGTCTGCTGGAATCAAGGAATAATTTTTTTCAGTGAAATTACATTGGACTTCCTAGAAAAAGAAAAAAAAAAAAGAAATGCATTAATCAGAAAAATGTATCAATAGAATTTCCTCAAATTTCATATTTCAGCACTTAGACATTAGAAGGAAATTACTTTGGGAAAAAAACTTACCTGAATTTCTTGTTAAGTTGTTCAAAGAGCT